ATCCCAACGGCACCGTCCATTTGGCTTTGTGTCAAAACTCGGGAACCCAAAACGGTTTTTTGTCTTCCCTTTCGTTTCCCGTTGGGACCCCCATTCAAAGAAGACGAGCCACGCGTTCAAACAACTCCTTAACGCACCCAGGGAGGCCTCCGCCATCTTCTCCGCTTCCTGGAGCTTCTCCTGCGCCTCCCTCTCCCGATCCGTGAGGTGCCCTCGCCGAGAAAAGAAAAAACGGCAACAAGAAAAGAAGAAGAAGAAGAAGCTCTTAGACTCTTAGTGCAGCTTTGCAATACCAAGAAAAGGAAGAAAGAACCTCTTGGGCATCATGCTTTGCCCAATGACTGGGGAAGGAGAGGCAGAAAGCCTTCCTTGGAACAGCACGAGATGGCTGATTCCCACCTCTTGGGATAGCTCATTGCCAAACCATGAGGGACCGAAAAGATGAGATGTCGGACCTCAACTGAGCACCAAATTGGAAGAACCAAAAAAACGGTGCCCTGTTTGGAATGTGTTTCCTCGACTAGGAGCTTCAAGCTCGACATGCCCAACTTTTGTCTGAGCTCAGAGCTGTAAGGATCACATGCTGCCACATGCCGATGCCGGATCTCTTGGATGTCGCTTGTTTCAGAGCCTGTAGGGACTGTTGGTATTTTCCGCTTGGGTTGAATTCCAGGTAGTTGATGATAAACATCATAATCACCACGGTGGTTGTGATGAGAATGCTGGCCCAGCTCGCGGAAATGATAGATCAAGCCAACGAAGCCAACAGTTTCGCTGCTTCTTACCAAGCAGCCCACTACAGCTGCACGGTGACGAAACTCCTTGCAGCCAAGAAGATTGCCAACTCTCTGGAAAATGCCTTGGGAAGTTTTCTGGGGACTGGGTCTACCGTCTTGATATCTTGGGGCTGTGGTGTCGTGTCGTTTGCTCGCCTTCCACCGCCTTGTGGGTGTCTGAGGTGCAGGTCACGCCTTCCTTCAGCTTGTCCTTCCTTGGGAACTCAGAACACGAACGAGTCTGAGAGACGCATGCAATAAACGTAATTACCAAATTCCAAGAGGCAAACAGGTGGTAAACAGGTGGGACATACTTGCAAAGTACCGAGCATTGTTTACACGCAAGGTCGTTCACCACTTACCTGTGACCTATCAGCCCGGAGTCGCTGCAAATCTCCCTAAGCCGAGCGGCACCTTCTGAGCCTTCTTGTTGTTCTCGTCCACCAGCTTTTGCAGGCAGAGTCCTTGTCGATTCAACACGAAGAAAGAGACCGACTCCGACGGAAGCAAAAGGCCAAACAGTGCTTGTGGGTGTGTGTGGGTGTATGTGGTTGTGTGCGCGCGTGGTGTAGTCTGAACCACGATTACTTCATCGCTAGAACAATATGAGGGTCACCTTACGCCTTCTTGCAAACAATGCGTACAATTCGAAGCGATGGTGGAAGAGCTCTACCAGCAGTGCAAACCTTCAAATCGGTGTCTCTCTTTGACCCGAGCTCGTTCTCTAAAGCCTGGAATCGAGCTAGGGCAACAGAAAGACCTGCGACCACGAATCGCCCTTGTTGTGACATCATGGGCTAGCCCACTTTCATGAAACCTGGTGCTGCCATTGACCGCAGACTTCGCCCATCTTGCAAGCAAGGCTCGCAAATCTTCCAGGTACCGCCACCTGTACTTCACCTGGGTGTAGCAAGGAAGCGTACGCCCACAAAAAACATGACAGCATTGATGGCATCCAAACTGGCGAGGCAGACCTTAGCTCAATCTTTGGCTTGTTACGAATTCGCCTGCAACACGCTTTACATGTACCTGGCCAGCGGTCCAGAAAGACCCGATTGAAACAGAATAGCCCGCGCGTGCGCAGGCGGGCACAAAAGGAATGACCCTTCTCATCATGCTCTGACATGCAGGGCACCCTTGGACTGGTCATTTGGCTTGATTCACTTGCTCCGTGCAAAGCAGATAGACTAACGTACAACTTCTGCACACAAACTCCTGCATCAACAGAGAACATATTACATTCCTTCTACAGAGCACAAATGGTCCAATGTGGCGGCAACCCTATCAAGGGAGCTGACTACGACGACCAAAAGCTATTTTCCTGTAAGAACCCCGCAAATGACTTGGCATGCCCCATGTCAACAACCTCTTGGACCTGAAACCCTTCTGCGGCTCGCCGCCAGCATCTTGAAATGCAGCTTTCTGACAGCCCAAGGTTTGGAATGCAAACGTAAGGCTTCTTATCATATACTGAGTTCAAAGCAGTTCATGGGCAAAACAAATTGCGCTTCAATTGGCAAAACAAAACCCAGCCTTGCATCGCAAAAGTGTCAAGGAACATTAGTTTGACATGCTCGCGGCATGTGCCACAGGAAAGTGACCGAACAAATTGTATGCAGACCACGTTAGTGATGCTCAAGATCTTAACCGGAAATCTGAAGTTGAAATTTGCAATTGGCATGGCAGGATCATCAGGGGTTCAAGCCTGTCACTGTTCATTCTTTGCTGAACATGGATTAGTCTTCACGTTGGTCCAGCTGCGCAAGTTTCAAGGTCGGGAATGCCAGCAAAAAGAATTGGGCCAATGCAACTTGTCAACATGTGCTTGAGGAAGTCAACCATTTGCAGGAAGGAAATCACACTCAGTGAAGGGCTAGCTGGACAATCAAACCAAGGAACACTGTCAGCCATTCTTTGTTGAAGAGCATGTGAAGGCACAATACCAGAGACAAACGACTACGTAACACCAGTAAATCAGTGCTCAATGAAATAGGAAACCGACACTTCCATCTCCCCCTGTCCACTCCTTTTCCGCCACTTTGAAAGACCCTCTGCCCTGGCCCTCTGGGCCGTGCATTCTCTGGGCCCTTGGCATAGTCCTTGTCCTCCTTTAGCCGCTCCCTCATCGCCTACACATGAGCCACCCCCAAATCTGTATGTTGAGAAGTGTCTGAATTCTTTGCGGTTCGCTTCTGATCTGGTTTCGCATGACGCTAAGCTTCAGAATCACAGACCACCCTGTTCAGAAATGGGATTAACGCACTTCTGCTCTCCCTGATTGTTTGCCTTCTAAGTGGCTGAGAGCTGAGAGTTCTTACATAGCTGAAGCCAGAAATCCAGAAGATGGCCCCCCACCTCAGAAGCCTGATTTGATGGTCCGGAATGGGCTATGGAGCCAAAACAAGATGTGGCAAAATGCGAGCACCATCCCTAAACAATCCGCTGCCACAAGCAACAAGTCGGACATCTGGGCAACATCCAGCATCCGACAAAAACCTCCCACCTCGGAGTGCTGCTTCTTGCAAGGCCCCACCGGACTGTTCGGAGAAGCCTTTCCACCCTAGCAGAAGCCACGCGCTCGGCCAAGCCCACAGTCGTGAGCGACAAACTGGTTTGTCTGGAGCATCCGCAACAGTCTCAGCATGCGGAGAATCAAACTTTCAGAACTCCGAAAGCGCCAACTTCGCCTGGTTCAGCCACATCTCATGAGGGCAGTCACCGACCAGGTGGTACTTGCACACGTCCGGGTCCTTCCGCCAAATTGAGCGCTCGAAAAGGATTGGACGGCAATTGCTCGCTGGAACTCTGCTGCAATCCACAGTGCCATGTAGGCTTGTCCGGAACTCCTATGCCATCAACGAGCTCAACTTGGGCTGCCTTAGCAAGTGAGTTTCTGATCCTGCGACTCCCATCAGAGGCATGCTCTTACCCTGAAGCATCAATGGCATGCCTAGGACTTTGCGAGGCAAGGTGAATTCTGGAAATCTTGATGTCGTAACCCCGAGAAATCAAACTCTGCGCTCCTTGAAGCTTTGCCGCTTGGAGTCTGGCGCTGAGTTCCGGTCCTAGTGAGCCCAGGCCCCAAACCCCCGATTCAGCTGCTCACGCCAAGTGCTTGTGGAAGATGATCAACATGTTGATTTCAAGAAGCCGACGCCCAAGTTCTGACGAACTTCGGACAAAACGAGATACTGCAAGCAGCACCCAGGCAGATCGAAACATCTGGCTCAGTCCTTGCCCATGAGTGAGTCCAGCAATGCCCGCGTGGCATCCATTGCGGCTGTGATGCACCCCAAAAGGGGGATCACACCAGCAAGGACACTCGAACCTTTTGCGCCACCTTTGGCGTTGGCAAACCACTGAGATGCCGGTTGTTTGTGTGTCATGCCCAAACAGCACAGATCCTCGACCTGACCTCATGCGGACCTAGGTCAATGCTCGCAATTGTCAGAGATTGCTCCTGTTTCCTGCCCAGAGAGAGGAATAAGTAGCGATTCAGCCGGCCTGTATCCCTGTTCACTGTTAGCAGACTCAACAAACCTAACAAGACTGGGGGTCACCTTGCTCCATTGGAGCACCACAGATTCCAAAAAAGAAAGCTGTGGTGGTGCGCTTCTTCGATAAGCTGAGCCACAACAGCCTCAGGCAGTCGCGCAAGGGCGCTAGCGCATAAGAGGAGAGCCTAGGGTCTACAGCCAAACTTCATTCGCCCCAGCTCAAGACGGAGCTCTCACCAACGATATTCTCTTTGAAGAGAAAACAAATTGTCATTCATCTGATGAGCAAGAACTCAAAACAGCCCAAGAGCCTTCTTTCTACGTCAAAGACCTCTGATCATAACGCTGTAGGCAAGAAGCACACAACACTGTGCTGTTGGGCCAGTTTTGCCTGCAGCCACATTGCCCGCACCCTTTCGAAACAGCAATTGCAGGAAACAAAGAACCAAAAAAAAAACGGCACTGCCAGCCGCGCAAGACACTCCCTGGTTGCTTCCATTTGAAGGATTTGGAATCGGGCACTGTGTTGACTCCAACATGAGCAGCTTCCAATATCAGTCTATTGAAAAACGGACGACCCCGGATGACACATACATTTGACAGACCTAACATGTATGACACATACATTTGACAGACCAAAACACGCAAACATGTCAGAAAGCGCGGGCTGAAGTTTAAGTGGAATGGCAAGTGGGGCATCCCGACCACACAGGCTGAAGCCAAGCACCGGGAAGGAAGGCTCAACGAACACGGTCTGAACCTGCCGAAGTGAGCGGATGGTAGGTGACCTTGATGGATTTCTTAAGGACAGGAAACGAGTCCCCCCCGCAAGAACACCCAAATGATCATGTTTTGTGTTTTGCGCTTGTGCCATGTCCAATCTGGTTGAGCAGCAACAGAGGACTAACAATGCTTCAAGAGGCGCGCGAGCACGTTTCAGTTGCAGAACAAAGTATCAGATCGCTGCTTGGACCAAACCAAATCTACAAAGGATAACCCGAGCACTTGTGACGAATCCGGAGCAATGGTGGTTCAAAGAACGTGTGTGGAAGCTGATCGATACTGTCAGCCAAACAGCGATTTGAAGCGTTTTACTATCTTCCTATACATATTATATTGCTTTGTTCACGCAATTTGCTGCTGCCTCAGACTTCAATGCCCAAGCTTGGGGCAATCTGGTCCCCATCTTGTGTTGCCTAGAAAACCCTCAACACCTGCGCAATCCAGAAAACCCCGTAGGGAAGCGTCAACCAAACGATGCCATCCACAGGTTTCGGAACACGATTGTCAGTCATCGCGTGTTCGCATGCAGGTCTGCGAAAGTGTCAGGGAAGGAATGCACAAAGAATTCCAGGAGTGCGGTGCTCTGTGCGAGGAACAAGAGAACGGCATACTGCGGCATACTCTGAAAAAAAGAGTGCGCCAGGTACCCAAAGGTAGATGTGTTCCGCGTGGGACCTTGGGCAGTTGGGAGTTGCTCGGGGTGGTTTGGCTTGGATGTTACGAGGGTGGGTCTTGGGTTTGGGGTTCATTTAGGCTCGTGCTGTTGGGTGGGGTTAAGGTTGACTTTGGGTTTGTGGGTCGCTTGGGGCTGAGGTGTGTGTGCTGCTGATTTGGCAGTGGATATAGGGTTTCTTTGCGGTACAAACCAGATCCAAGCCAACCCCAAACCCACCCAAAGTCAACCTCAACTCACCCAACAGCAGCCTGGATCTCAGCCATTTTGCTGAGCCTAATCTTAAATCGACCCAAGACCCACACTCAGTAAGCTAAGCCAGCCTCAAACCACGCGTGATTAAACCAGCCTCGAGCAACTCCCAAACCAATAGGCAACCCTAAGCCCTAGGTCTGAGGCTGGTGATGCCGCCCTGTGCAAACGAACACCTCATCCATAAGAATCATTGGTTGCTTAAAAAGCCATCTGCAAATCCAATGCGCCCAAACACATCTGCAAAGGCACAAAACGATTGTTTTGGGTGAGCAGTATCCTTTGTTGATTGAAATCTACTGTTCAGCTTTGTTGATCAGACGGTTTTGTGGGTGAACTTCTCTCCACGGAAAATGTTGATTGGCTCGTGTGATGTTTTGTCTGTCCACTTACTCTGTGCCAGAAAATTTGGCCCGTAACCCTGCCAAACAGTGGGCGAATCAGAAGTGCCCCCTTCTCTATACAATTTGCCGGAATGTCAAACAAGACTCTGCGTTTTGAGTTTGGATCCATCCGGAAGCGTACCGCCACGAAGCCCAGGCATGCCACAGCTCCTGGCACGTAACTCGCGCAGGGCTCGAGACAAAATGCGGCATAGTGCAAAAGCAGTGAGCATGAATGTGTGCTTCTTTGCACATCTTACCAAGTTGACAATCTGAAAGACAAGAATGGTCGAAGCCAATGCTCTGTATGAAGTTCGATGTGTTGCTCAAAAATTTTGTTGGCAATATTCAATATCCTCCTGTTTCAAGCGGTTCTGCCTCTGTCCGCAAAGCTTGGCCTGGGTGCTGACCTGAGCGTCCAGCCTGGGATCAAACGCCCCTTCATCACGGCCTGGGCTGCAGTGTTACACTGCGATTGTCATGCCAACCCGCAGACCCATATATGCCTACTGGAGGACGCAACACTTTTGATATGTCAGGATGCCAGAAATGTTGCACTCATCTTGGATATCTTTCAGAGCTACAATGTTTCAAACGTTTCCACACGCGTCCAAGAGCCCCGAGCCTTTCACTCAGCTTCGCACTCACCAACGGCGCTTTCAGCGCAGGGCGCGGGAAGATGGGCGCCCGCTCTCGTCCGAGCCCAACGCGGAAATCAAAAACAAACACTCAGAAGCTAACAGGTGCATCTGCAGATCACTTGCACTGGTAAGAACTGATGCATCAACAATAACAAACCCATTTGGCGAGCTGGATGTGTCAAGGATAGAAATGGATGAAACGAGTCAAATGGTCACCTACTCTCCGCGACGAAGGGACAATGCGAACCCAACGTAGCATGGCTGTTTGTCATTGGCACTCCAGGTTTTCACTTAGGTGATGAAGAAAAACAAATGCAAGTTGCTGGCCAACGAACACGAGAGATGATGCCTCGGCTCATGCGCTCTTCAAACAATTTGTTTGATTGACATGACGTCGCCCACGCCACACAACGGCCCCACACTGCGTCATCAGCTACTAAGTTTGCCTGCCTGATGCAGACCAGCAGGGCCAACAAAATGCACACCGATTCCCTCAGCAAACAAACAAACAAACAAAACAAAATGCACAAGGATATCTGTGACCCAAAAAAGGGTTTTACATCAAACAAACGTGACCTCAGTCTTGCCGTGGCTAAGCGAAATTCACAAATGACCCATGCATTCACCAACCTCAGTGCCCGCATGATCCAACTCTGCGCAGCGGCCAGCATGTTCTTGTTTTTGCGTTCGGCAGTTTTTGCGTTCGGCACAAAGCCCGCAATTACCTGGGCGCATTTGACACCGGCGGCTTGCTGCTGAGGCACGGGCTGCGTTCCGACAATCTGTCCAAAGGGCTATGCGAAGCCATCATAACGCGAGGACACAATTCCATCCATGGTCACGGAGTTCCACGTCCAACACAAAACCATGCGCAAATTCGGGGTATGGCCCCAGCTCGAAGTGATCAAAGTCACTGTGGCGCAAGGTCGTTGGGGCTGGGGCCGCAACAATCGAGCTTCGGAGGCCGGGGCTCATCCACTTCCCTCTGCCCTAAGTTCCCTAGCTTCCCTAAGTTCCCTAAGTGCCCTAACTTCCCTGAGTTCCCTAAGTTCCCAGGTTAGGGAACCTAGGGAACTTAGGGAACTTTGGGAACCCAGGGAACTTGAGGGACTGGGGGCTGCAAGTGGCATGATGTGTTCTTTCTTGTTCTTCTTCTTGTTCTTCCAAGTTTGTGTTATTTTTTGTTTGAGCATGTGTCACAATACTCTCCCACCCCTCGTTCTTTTTGGCCACCATCTCTCTCTCTCTCTCTCTCTCTTATTTGCATTGTTTCTTGTTTCGTACCTTCTCCTTATCTTCTTTATGTATTTCTTGAAAAAATAAGAAAATGGCAATTAAAGGAAAACCATGTGAAAGAAATCATCAAAATGAAAGCCAAATTGGAGAAGGGATCAGCTGAATCAGCTGCAGACACAAACAACAAAACAAAGAATGCCACAAGACGGTATCGTGGAGGAGGTCTCTCGCCAAAGTTCCCAAGTTCCCTAAGTAAGTTCCCAAGTTCCGTAAGTCCCTAAGTTCCCTAATTTTCCAAGTTCCGCAAGTTCCCAAGTTCCCTAAGTTATCTAGGTTCGCTAAGTTTTCTAGGTTCCCTAAGTTCCGTACGTTCCCTAAGTTCCCTAGGTTCCCTAAGTTCCCAAGTTCCCTAAGTTCTCTAGGTTCCCTAGGTTCCCTAAGTTCTCTAGGTTCCCTAAGTTCCCTAAGTTCCCAAGTTCCCTAAGTTCCCTAAGTTCCCAAGTTCCCTAAGTTCCCTAGGTTCCCTAGGTTCCCTAAGTTCCCTAGGTTCCCTAAGCTCCCTAGGTTCCCTAAGTTCCCTAGGTTCCCTAAGTTCCCTAGGTTCCCTAAGTTCCCTAGGTTCCCTAAGTTCCCTAAGTTCTCTAGGTTCCCTAAGTTCCCTAAGTTCCCCAAGTTCCCTAGGTTCCCTAAGTTCCCTAAGTTCTCCAGGTTCCCTATGTTCCCTGAGTTCCCTAGGAACCGGGTGCATGCATCCTTGATTTTGGTGGTCCTGCCATTCACTCGGCTGGTGCTTTCCGAGCATTCTGCGAAAGGGGGCCAGTGAGATGAGGCTCGGGAACCCGAGCCCAGGGAACTCAGGGAACTTAGGGAACTTGGGGAACCCATGCACCTGGTTCCCAGGGAAGTTAGGGAGGTGAGGGAACTTGGGGAACCTAGAAAAGCTAGGGGACTGAGGGGACTCGGAAAAACTTAAGGTGCACAGCGGGCAATTGAACAGTGGAACACTTTGAGGCCGGAGCAGGTCGGGCTTGGTGGAGAAATCCAGGATTCGAATCAAGTCCACCTCCACAGTCGCAAAACAAGAAAAATAGCAAACGCAACTGTTGAGAGTACGGCCAAGCACGGTGATGCAGGGTTTGGCGGGCAAGCCTGCCCGTGTCAAAAAACACAGCTCAAGTGATTGGAAGACTACAACCCTGCCTCAAAAATCCCCAAAGGCTGGGATCACAAAGCCCAAGATGCCTGCGACGGCAAGACTTGACGAGCTTGGGCAAAGAATGCAAAAACAGGGGCCTTGTTCGCAAGGTCAACGGGCCTGACGGCACAGCTTGACGGGTTGGGGACACAATGCAAAACGCGGGCCTGGTTCGCAAAATTGATTTTCAGCAGGCCTGACGGGGTTGGGGAAACAATGCAGTGCTCAAACGACTTGACGGGGGTTGGGGACACAATGCAAAACGTGGGCCTGATTCCCAGGGTCGATGGTCGGCAGACCTGAAGGCAGGGTGGACGGGGTTGGTGAAACAATGCAAAACGTGGGCCTGATTCCCAGGGTCGATGGTCGGCAGACCTGAAGGCAGGGTGGACGGGGTTGGGGAAACAATGCAAAACGTTGGCCTGATTCCCAGGGTCCATGGTCGGCAGACCTGAAAGCAGGGTTTGGGGAAGCACCGCAAAATGTGGGCCAGACCAAGGGGGTTGTCGAGTTTGAAGGGCTTTGTCACGAATACTCTGAGGGCGGCACTGTGCAGCGTTGATGATGCACGTGATCAGGATGAAGCCTGGCGAGTGTGTAGGTGTCTCTGTGTGTACGGCGCCTCGCAGCCTCCGGCTGACGGGCAAGAAGGGGGCTCCGCCACCGCTCGCCTGCTCCTCCCCCTCTCCGTTTGCCTCCCAGAAGAGGCCGGCACCGGCCGCCTTGATCTGGTTGGTGAGGGAGAGCTGCTGGCCGCGGTGGTTGAGGGGGGAGCTGCCACGGATGGTGACGCGCTGGACAACGCGCTTCTCGGAGCAGTCGTCCGCGACGCCCTTGTGCGACAGCGAGCGGTTGTCCCACATCGTCACCTGGTTGGGCAGCCACGAGACGCGCGTGCAGAACTCGGGCCGCGCGATCCACTTGTAGACAAAGTCGAGGATCGCGCGCGACTCGGCGGGCTTCATGCCGTCAATGTGCCTGGTGAAGGTGGGCGACGCAAAGAGGCCGCGGCGGCCCGTGCGCGGGTGCACCGTCACGATCGGCTGCAGCACGTCCAGCTCGAGCTGCGGCGTGTCCTCGCGCATCTGCATCGTCGTCGTGCCCTCCATGGCCGCGCGCGAGTTGCCCGGGTGGCCGGCGCCGTAGGCGCGGTTGGCGGAGTGGTAGGCGTTGAGGTCAAGGAGGAGGTTCTGCATGGTGGGCGAGAGCGCGTCGTACGCGTCCTCCGCCGACGAGAAGAGCGTGTCGTTCACGCCCAGCCGCGGCACCTCCGTGCCGCGCAGGATCGAGTAGGAGGCCGTCTGCGCGGCGAACGAGATGTCCGAGTGCCAGTTCTCGCCAAAGACGACGTGCGCGCCGGCCTCGCGGACGATCTCGAGGACCTCGGGGGCGTTGGGGTGGCCCTTGGACACGTGGTGCGGCTCGCAGCACGTCTCGTTGACCTCGGCCAGCTTCTTCGCGAAGCGCACGTGGTCGTGGATGCTCATGTCCGGCGACTGGTTTGAAAAGACGAGGATGCCGCCCGCGTCGTCGCAGGCCTGCATGAGGGTTTCGATGTCGTCGGAGGAGAAGTCCTGCCGCAGGTCGACGTTCGGCAGCTCCCACCCCAGCTTGTCGTTCGTCGTCTGCACCTCCAGCCCGGTCAGCATGTCGATCGTGCCCGCCGGGCGCAGGTCGCGCGGCTGCATGAGCGGCTTGCGCCCCTCGAGCAATCGCGAGGAGTTGCAATTCATGTTGGCCTCACCACGTCAAATTGGCGAATTGGGCCAACCTGAAACACTACTTGAAGGGCTAGCTGACACCAACCCACACAGGACCCCGGCCGAGTGGATCCACCTGCAAGTGACCAAAAAGCGACAAGAGGCAAATTCCAGAGGGCCGCACTGTAAGAAGACCTGCTGCAGGTCGAAGTGGATGCTGGCACGGGGTGCGTGGAGACAAAGGAAGCTGCAAATCCGAAAACCTTGCCTTGCACCCGCCAGCGGCTCCCCACCGCCCCGAACCGCGAGACAATGCCCCAAAAGGCTGCAGCAAGCCGAATCTCGCCCTCACAAGGCCCACGTGCTTGGAGAAGCTCTTTCCAAACACGACCGACAACGTGAAAATCGCGATAAAAACGCAGCACCGGCAACATGTCATGCAAAATCACGCGCGAAATTCATGCAAACAGAATTTACGGAAAAATACCCAAAAACGTGTTTTGCCGGAAATGGCGGCTTTCGAGCCGCTTGAGCCAGGGCCGACACTTTGGTCGGACATTTTTGTTTGCCCGCCCTACAGGAAAAAAGACCGGCAACCAAGAGTCAAGATAACTACCATCGCCACTACAATCGCTTTTGGCGAGGCGCAGTCCCTAAAGGGCGCTAAATCGCGCCCTTGAGGTCCGAAGGGAAGCCGATAGTCTGGCAGTCCGAGTGGACCCGCATCATCTGGGAGCCCAGCTTTGGGGAGGACCAGGGACCAAGGCAGAATGTGTGCCTTGCCGTGGAAAGGGATTCCGAGGCCTGGGAGGCCTGGGCAGACTTTGAGAAGAAGTGCGTCAACTAAATGTTTTTGCGGTCGAGCCGCATTTGCGGCGACGGCGACGTGAAGGACCGGTGGCAGAGCTGTCTCAAAGAGTCCAGGCAGGGTGGCCACATTCCTGAAATTCAAGCTGGACGCGCGGAACGTCCGCTGGCAACAAGATCCAGAGGCCCGAGGCCCTTGCCGGCTGCGAGTGCCAAGACCGCGTGGCCCGGCAGGTTTGGATCATGGGCAAGCAGTGCGGGTTGGTCCCCGAGGTGAGGGACCTGCAGAAGCCCGGCACGGGCGGGGACTCTTGTCCCTTCTAAAACCGCCCCGCAAAGACCCGCAGGGGGCCTCGAGAGAACAGCGAGGTGGGCACTTAGGGCACTTAGGGCACTTGGGGCACTTAGGGCACTTAAGGCACTTGGGGCGCTTAAGCACTTAAGGCACTTAGGGCACTTAGGGCACCCAGGGCACCCAGAGCACCCAGGGCAGCAGGGCACCCAGGGGCACCGGCGAAGGAGGGGGGCGCAGAGGACATGCAAGACACAGGGGCGCCAGACGAGGGGACGGCAGGGCCTCTTTTTTTGTCTCACGCAGTCGCGCGGGCCTCGGGCGAGGTCCGCATGACCTCTCACAGCGCTCGGAAGTCGAACAACAACATGCGGAAATGGTCAAAGCTGCGAATTTGTACATGTCGAAAAAACCCTTCAAAAATCATGTCTGCATCTCAAAAATCGTGTCCCCTTCAAAGACCGTGTCCGCATGTCAACTTCGATCTCAAGCCGTGTTTGCAATTTGCTCCTGCCTGCCGCCAAGTCACGCCTGCGTAGTCCCCGCAAACCTCCCTGCCCGCCAAAAAACAACACGCTCTCCCCGGATCCTGAGCTTGCTGGCGCCTCCTCCCGCCAACCGCCGGGTTTTGGCAGTTGACGGGAGGGCCCCCTCATTCTTGTTGCCGCTTGCGCAGCAGCCCGCTTGTTCAGCGGTCCCATCTCCCGAGAAACCCACCAATACACCATCTGCCAGCCGGGCTTGCTCAGCCCCCTGTCCTTTTGGCAGCCCTTCCCGCCAGCCGCCCACCAGCATTCCCCCAGAGTTTTTCTTTGGCGGCTGACAGAAAGGCATGCGAGCATGGCTGGCCCCCCTTTATGCCGAACTGCACTCCCCGCCGGGTTGCATGATCTCAGTCTGCAAGACTGTGCCTTCATTTCTTTCTGCGCTCAGCTCCAAGGCTGTTTTGACCAAAACAGTACACGGCTTATTCATGCCTCCCGGCTCCAGTGTGCTACATCACAAGGGCAGAACCACTCATTGTCCAAAGCCACAGTGCCACCTGAGTCCGTCGCAGACCCCTCAGCAGAGCATGCTCGCATCTCCAAGCCGAGCAAAGCCACTTTGCAACAACTCTTACCGTGTTTCCATTTAGATTTCGCATGCCCACTACGAAGCACACCCCTTCTGATCTGCAAAGCTGCACCGAAGCAGGGGTGAAACTATTCATTACCCCTTTGCAGATCTTTGTGCAAAATTCAAAGTGTTAAGGCATGTTGCACTGCTCCTATCTTGAACCCAAACCAGACCACCCAAAAGAACAAAGCAAGTCCGAAGCGGCCGCAGTTCTTTTAACCGGGATTGCTGAAAGTAGCACTGCTTCCAGGGCACGGATGCGCCTGGAGCAGGAGGTGCGTTGACCCCCCGTGAAACTTAAAGGCAAGACAATGCGTGTCCTTGCAGGTGCGTGCAGTGCGCGCAAGGCGTGGCAAGCGTGCCCACGCCGGTCCGGAGACCTGGTGGTCCTGAGACCGTGGGCGGTCCGGAGACCCGGAGGTCCGGAGACCATGGATGGAAATGCAGAGCATCTGCAACTTCCTTTGCAGAGCCTTATAGAAAAGGCAATGCAGGGTGGGTGGGTGGGTTTCAAATGAAACAGATCAGGTTTGGGTCAAGGCTAGGAGCAAAACGGCCACCGCGGAAGTAGATTCACAACATGCCCTAAACACAAGGGAAAAGAAAACCCTAAGCGTTAAGGCATGTTGCACTGCTCCTATCTTGAACCCAAACCAGACCACCCAAAAGAACAAAGCAAGTCCGAAGCGGCCGCAGTTCTTTTAACCGGGATTGCTGAAAGTAGCACTGCTTCCAGGGCACGGATGCGCCTGGAGCAGGAGGTGCGTTGACCCCCCCTTCAGTGTTTCAGGCAACCCCTGGGCCGCCGGCCTCATCACCCCCCTTCAGAGTGGGGTTGTACCTGGCAGGGCAAATGTCGTACGACATTGCATTTACATGCTTATGAGCATTTGCTGTTCTGGGACTGCTCATTTTCGCCAAAGCGGCTTGCTGTGAAGCTGCTGACAGATGCGGCCAGATATTCTGGTTGCCAGGGCGATGTCGGGTCGCGACGCCTGTTGGAAGGCAGCTGCTAAGTGTTCCGGGTGCCAGGGCGCATCAATCGGACACAGCTGGATGCCTCTGCCTGACAGCGCAAGGCCTGCGGGGCTGAAGCGTACGCGACTCTCTGGATCGGGCTGGCCGACCTCTGCTTAGGTCGTCTGCCCAATCATTGTTCCTGCCCGGAACATGTGTGGGCTGCAGTAACACATTGTGTGCATGCGCCCAGAAGGCTGTGAGCTGCACGAAGAGTTGCAGCGGCCAACTGGCGAGTGGGCTCGATGCACTTGGTACCACCACAACTGTGCTCAGCCTTCAGAGCCTCCTTGAACAAGGACCTCAAGACCAGCCATAGCCTTCCCAGCCTTTGGATCGCAGCGGGCTCCAAAATTCTGGGCCGCCAGGCATTGTCTTCAGGACGTCCCGCGTGTGCCAGGCACCAGCAAACCCACGTGGGTACGTGTCTCAGATCCAGATAACCCCTATACTAGCCTTTTCCAAGTCGAGCCAGCAATGCCTAGCTTCGTGCTTCCTCAGAGTAGAGAGGCGCTAGCCAAGATCTGAGATGCAAGGCAATGCTGGTGGCCCAAATGAGCAGGCCTCTGCACTGCTCGAGTGTCTTACGTAGTACTGTTTGCTTCCCAGCAATGCTTTGATCAAGGCGTCCAGCTTCATCAGCTTTGCGGACACAAGCTGAATGGTATCGTGGGAGAAGTTGATCTCCCAGCCACACCAAATGAGGCTGTCCTGAAACTGCGCCTTTTTCCACGAAATGGGCGCAGCAATTGCGCAGAAGAACAGCACCACTAAGGCGAACATGTCTGAGGCACTGTCTCGGACAAGTGCGCACAGCAGGTCGTCTACGAAAAGGAAGGCTTTGTGGGGCTTCCAAGCCAACAGCCCATGCACTTGGCGGAGTAGAAACGCGCCAGTGCGTTGCCACCAGAAATGCCGAGAAACGGCCTCCGAAATGGCATACTCTATAATGGTAGAGTTTTTCCTGAAAAGCAAACAGTAAAAGGCCATGCTCTCTTTGCCGAGGGAAAAGAGCCTCGCCTTGTCCTGGACAGCGCCGTGCGCCACGTCAACACCAGGTGCCACCTACCAGAGCGCCTTAGCCTGCCAATGGCTTCAGACCTGGCGCTGTCCACGCAACCAGAAGACACTCCAGGTGCCTTTGTGCAAGCGTTGACTTCAAAGCCGCGCACAAACACCATTTTTCCGAGCTTCGGCAAGGCTAAGGCCGGTTTCTACGATCCAGTTGTTGGCAATTTCATTGCTAGATCTGGTGGCACGGCCGTGTCCGGCTTTTTGGCCGGCCATTGTTGGCTGGGTGGCAAGGCTGAGACAGCACCTGTTGGTACCCCGTGTTGCAGGAACGGCAGCAGGGCCATGTCTGGGTCACCCCGGAGTTGGCTAGGGCCTGCAGCAGACTGGTGCCATCCAGAGCCAGCACATCCACTGCAAACAGTGGCCAAGCCCTCGGAGGTGGCAAACATGGCTTACACAGCTCTGCAATTGCCCTGCCCTTCAGACATGAGCCCCGAAGCAGGACAACCACAGACTACATTTGCGGTCGAGCGCATTCCTGCTCCGTCGCAGGTCGGGAGCCTGCCAGGCGCTAAGGAGATGGTCCTGGTATTGCGGAGTGCAGTGGCAATGCTTGCCGGACAGAGCCTGTTTTGCTGACCCGTCCTACGCCTACCTGGGCAAGTTGCAAGGCCAGGGAAGGTGGGTATTCTGCAGTCAGAGTGCTAAGGTATACCCCTTGCTCCTTCACGCCTGCAATGCTTTGATGCTTATATGAGTGATTGCACCGGGCTTCCAGGGCCTGGATTTTCGCGCTATTGCAGCCGAAGGCCCAAGACTTGGAGAAGGTTTTTTCGTGCGTGCAGGCCTTCGCATTGGTCGCGCAGCATCTGGAAATTGGCCTCTTCTAGCCAGGACATGGCAGAGGGCGGTTGTTCCCAGATGCCAACCTCCTTTGGAGGCTCTACCGCGCTCGTGAATAGTTTTGCTAT